TCCCCCTGACTCTTCAGACAGGACAGGGTCTCACCAAGCAGCCCTTGCTGTTCTGGAACTAGCTCAGTAGACCAGCCTGTCCTTGAGCACACCTTCCTCTGCTACCCATGCTAGAATTGAAGATGTGAGACGCCACAGCTGACTACTGTTTCCTTCTTAACTTACTTTAAAACAAGGAAAACACCTCTCTCCTATGTGCCACTATTGTCACATGTCACTGTAACTTCTCAGAGAAGCACACATTGCACACGCATGAGCATGTCTATAAATCTTGCTGTTGACTTTCTCGTTCCTTAAACAAGAGCTTTCTGTGGGCAAAGAGGAAATACAGTGTAGTAAGGTAAAGAGAGAAAACATCAACTCATGCTGGCACCTACTTCATAGGTAAAAATTTTTACCTTCTACAAAATTGAGATGACAATAGCCATACCTTCAAAGACATCTGTCATTTTGCAGATATGGGCAAATGTGGCCCCAGTTGCCCAGGTATACACCACATCCATCAGGTGAGGCTTGAATGAACTTAGGTAAGTTTCTTCATCAATCTCCAGTTTTGCTTCTGCTGAAACTTTTGCAATCCTTTTAGCACATTCCTTTTAAGAATAAAGGACAGAATTAAAATTCTTTACTGAGTATCTCCCATATCACGTTTTTTTTTTTTTTTTTTTCTAGATTTCCAAAGCAGGATTCTACAAAATCACTTTTCTTTTAGGAGAGATACAGATATCCAGCGTTGTCTCTGTGAGTTGCATATCCTGCTTCTAAGCAGGCCCAGGACTCTGCTGACAAGTAATTGCACAGTCGGGCTTTCCCAGGGTGTCAGTGACAACAGTGCTGGGGATGCCAACATCTGTGCCAGGTAGACATTTACTACAAGTCCTCCAACTCATTACACTTACAACAGCATCTAACTAAGCTCTGTTTTTAGAAGTCCAGAACCCAGATCAGGTAGTTCCCATCCACCTTAACTCCAGCTGCACGGGATCCAACGCCCTCTTCTGGCCTCTGTGACAACCAGCACTCACAGCTACACAACTTGTACCTTTCACATACATATAATTAGAAAATAATAAAAACACGTATTTAAAATATCTTTTTAAAAAAGAAAGCCAATAACTACTTAGAACTAAATGTCATTTTTAATACTGAGGAAGATGGTGGCTGGACAGATGCCTCGGTGGCTAAGGCCACTGACTGCTCTTCTAGAGGGCCCGGGAGCAACTTCTAGTACAAATAAGCACAGTGGAAAAACCATCTGCAGCTGCCAGTCCAGAAGCCCAATGTGTGACACTCTCTTCCGGCCTCCGTGGGCACTGAACAGATGCGGTGTAGACAAGCACACAGGCAAAACACCTGTGCATCTAAGATAAACATAAACAACAGCTAAAAAAAAAAAAAAAAAAAAAAGATTACCATGGCTAACACTGAGTAAGAAAATAAGCAACAGACTGCCAGTTACTTAGTTTCTGCATTAGTTTCAAATCTACACTTACAAAGCACATATAATTTGTTAAAATAATGAAGGTAGATGCTTAGTTACTAAGCTGAATATCAAGAAGGCTAGTACAACAAAATCCAATGACAAACCTGGCACCAAATGTATTTCCTCTGTGCAGTACTGCAGTGCCGATTAACCTGTGAGCGGGGGAATCTTCCATAATGGTTGGCTTACCTGCATTTGTCGCAGTGGTCCAGCTAACTGCTCTGTTAACTTGGGCATCTCACTAGACTATAATAAAGAAAACGAAATATGAAAACTCAAGCTTAAAGTACTATTTGCCATACAGCATTTAGAATTTATAATCAAATTCAGTTTTCATACATAAAATCACTATTCCTCCCATCATTAATTACCACATTCCAGAGAAAAACACTACACCATTAACTTTGCAAAGTGTGCTGACCAGGCAATTTCTGTGAGTATAAATGGAGCCTAGGAAAAAAGCAAATACTGTAAATAGTGTAACTATCATCAATAGTTTAATTATGAAAGTTTAGCTTCTAGGAAAGTTGGGAGAAAGTTACACTGTAAGGTGATTATTTAAAATACTGCCCCAATCTTATATATCTAGTTGTTTACTCAAGTATATGATAGTTCAAAGTTTAATTGGACTTAATACTTTTTTTTGTTCTTGCTACATAGCTAAGGCTGACCTTGAACTCCAAGATTCACCTGCCTCTACTTCTTGAGTGCTGGGATCAAAAGCATATACCATATGCACGGTTGACTTTCAATACTTTTAATACTGGTTTTCTCAGCAGTAAAATTTGTTAATTTCTAACTTACATAACAGATTTTAAGACTATCATTATAACCAGTTAAATAAAATTAGGGAAGCTATTTGAATTCTGTGTTGTGTTCCTTCTCTGTTAAAGAGAGAAAATATGTCAGGATTAAAAAAAAATCACATCGCCGTAAGAACAGCATGTACAGGGCTGTTAGGATTTAAAATAACCATGTGTGTATGTACATGTCTATCTGTAAGTGTGTGTGTGTGTGGTGGGCAGAGCTGCAGAGGCTAGAAGATGCCTTCGTCCTCGCTTTCCTGCCTTGTTAGCAATAGGGTCTTTGTCAATAGGCTAGCTATCCTGCAAGTTTCCGGAGACTCGTCTGCTCCCCCACCCATTTTCTACAAATGCTAGGAATTCACACACTTGCACTCCTGGGTTTGGCTGATATTTTAAAACTACAGATTAGTTGCAATTAGCGTCTGCATTAGCATACAGGACTTAGTTTCGATTTGGTGGATGGCTACGTAAACATGCAAGAAATCGTGATCCAGGTTTTCTCTTACTCCTGGGAGAACGGAGAAGCTTGGCAGCATGACTGGTGGAGAGGGGACCTCTACAGAAGGAGCGGTGAGGAAGCTACTGGCAGAGCAGCCACTCGTGAGCATGTCACTGGTCACCACTCTCCTCTGGCCACAGGCAGAAGGAGGCACTGGTCCTGAGCAGGGCAGAAGCTGCAATCTCTGAATGTGTGCATTTGGTCCTTCGCTTTAATTTAGGCATCAAATCAAATTTCACACCAGGGAGGCTGAAACAGCAGGCATATCTACCCAGTTCTTCAACCTCCTCTTTCACCCCCACAGAAGCCATGAGAGCGAGTTTTGCAGCATCTCCAGTGTTTAGATCTATGCACTGTAAACACAGGTGCTTAATAAAATTTTGTGGAGGGGCTGGAGACATGGCTCAGAGGTTAAGAGCACTTGGCTGTTCTTCCAAAGGTCCTGAGTTCAGTTCCCAGCAACCACATGGTGCTTACAACCATCTACATTGAGATCTAATGCCCTCTACTGGTACACAGACACACATGCAAACAGAATATAAATAACAAATAAATATTAAAAAAAAATAAAGTTTTATGGATACCTGATCTTCATATTTGAAAAATTTATGTAATTTTCAAAATACTTTTAATGTTACAGAAAAATGAGAGTAGTTTTAGGAACATTTTAAAATGTAAGTCAGTGTGTTAACACACTTCATCTAGAACGTCAAAGAATTTTACTATAGTTATTTTTTTTTGGCTTAACCGTGTGGCATAGAAACATGGAACTAGTCTTACAATTAATGAGGATACATTATACTGTTTAATCACAACTATACAATGTGCGAACAAATAAAGCACAGATTATTAACTCAACTCACATTCTCTTGAAACACAAAGCAGCTTAACAGTGCGGTTGCCTGCTCTGCAGAAAGGTCATTGAAGAGCCCATTAAACATCATCTCTGTTAGGAGGAGCTCGTCAGCACTAAAAAGAGAATACAAAGACCTATCTTTAACAGGTACATTAATGAAATGTACTATTTAATCATGAAGAAAAACAAACAGGTATAACCAAAGATTTGTAAAGGAAATGGTAGGCCTTTCTATTTGTGGATATGTAAATAGCATATGTTGAACAGACACTTCATGATATCCCAAACGCACATATTCATTCAAGTAACCACGTCTTAACTCTTATTTTGTTGGCCCAAAGAACTCTTTTAACTCCTTGAGAATCTCATGCTTTGGTCACAGCCACTTCTCTTCCCTACCCATCACCACAGTTCCTTCTGTCCCTAGAAATACACTGTATACTTATTTTGTTTTATGAAGCAGGGTCTCAAAACTCAATGGCCCAAGCAAATCTCAAGCTCATAGGCATCCTCCTGCTTCAGCTTCCTGAATGCTGGAATAAGAGGCTCAAGGTACCATGCCCTGCCTTTATCTGACATTCTCTTAATATGGCTAATTTCACCATTATCCCTATATAGGATGTTCTTTGTGTTATCTTCTAAATTGTGTAATAATTACAAAGTAACTTTCTTAGCTACATTTTTCTTTGTTATAGTAAGTAGAAAATAAAAATTCTCAATTTTCTGTACAAAGGAAGCCAAAAGACAGAGTACAGAAGTGGTAGTCTAAATTTCTATAATCAGGTTCTATAAGTTACCCACTATTATACAAAGGATTAGAGCCTTACAGTAATTAGAACATTTACTCATACCAAGGAGATAAAATATTTTATATTTTTAAGAGTTTATTCATGAAAAAATAAAGATGGAAACCACTAATCTTTATCACTGTAACTTCAAAATAAGTGAAAAACTAAATTTGGGTCTATAAAGGTAAACTAGGACTTAAGCTGAGCAAAAGTGGACAACAGAAATGAGGCAAGACCACTTCAAGGAAATAAAGAGTCTACCTAGTGTATGAGGCACAAGAGCAAGCAGCCAAACACCACATATCAGTGATCTAAAAAGCGTTCAGATAGATGGCTGTACATGAAAAGTTCCAGGCCTACTGGCAAACTGGAGAAATACACAGCAAGTTTCAGAAGGCCTTGGAAAAGTGAGTAGGACACACTGCAGAATGTGGGGTAATGGGACCCAAGTAAAGGAGACGGCTAGAGAGGGAAGTAAAAGAACAGATGAAAGTCTGGAATTTATTATAAACAAACAGGGAATCATTGACAAACTTATCAAACTGATGTTCAAGAGCTGTATTTTCTTTAAAATATGGAGTGCTTCATCAATTTGCATGTCATCCTGGTGCAGGGGCCATGCTAACATTCTCTATACTGTCCCAACTTTAGTATATGTGCTGCTGAAGTGAGCATGGAAAAAACGTATTGATAGCAGTGTACAGAACTTGGTCTCAAGACCAAGTGAACACTTAAAAGAGGGCAGTGCAATTATCTAGGTAGGAAAAAGTAAGAAAGCACAGGAGTCGGGGGCAAGGGTTAGAAAAACACAGAGGAAAAAGAAAGATGGGATCCTAGACTGACTCAAAGCTTTTATAAAATTTGAAGGAAATTAATGTACTTTGATACATTATAAAAATATGAATAATAACTTTATCCTGATATATTTTCTATTTATAGAAATAACAGTCAATATTCTTTACTCCAAGATGAAATCATGCTGCATATTTAAGTCATCATTCAACTCTAAGTAATACACAAGGAGAAAAGTACTTCTTTAACAGTAACTTCAGTATATGAATCATTATTTACATTGTGGTGAATACTTTTAACTAGAGTAGGAAAGCTGAGCCGTATTACAGGTTGAAGAAATAGAATCTAATCTAATTCAAAAGGTTTTATCTGGCTTGCTAACCAACCAAATGCACAATTTGTGTATTTAAAATAAATTCTGGATTCCGAGCGTCTCTGGTTGAGAATCTAGCACTATGCCATCTAACAAGAAGCTGGCACTCAGCAGTCCCTGCTCCTGATGACCACAAATTGTCTTCTTCACCACAGCCACCTCTGTAGACTGTTGAGTCTCTGTGTTGAGTTCTTACACAGACAACAGCATGAATAAACCTGTGCCAGAAATGCCCCAAACCAAACCATTTCCTTAATCCGCGATTCTCTGCTAAGGACATTTTAAACAGTTTTAAAACTATCTTATATGTCAACTGACAATCATGGCCACCACTGCATGGACAAGAGTCACTGTCAGGAAGAATACTGTTCATGGGGGCCCAGCCTATGACTTTCACATTGGGGACAAAGTCAGGCTAGCTTCTAAAGCAGGAAACATCATGATGAAAAAAAGGAAAGATTGAAAAATTGTTTTCTTTTCCATATTATGTTCTACAATTGCACTATGCATATAGGCTGCCCCTGTATGACAACTTAGATTAAAACAACATACAATTTAAAAAATCAGTTTCCTAGTGTTGAGTCACCATTTCCAGTGCTAAATCATCACATGGCTGAATGACCACCACACAAAACAGTAAAGGTACAAAACATTTTGATCATAGAAGACAGTTCTATGGGACAGCTGCGTTTTTCCCCCATCAAGAGATGGAATTTAGCTATTTTCTATTTGAATCTAGGGGCATTTGTGACTCCAATGTATCAAAGGATTGTGATAGAGATACTGCTGTGAACTCTCTAAGCTAGGTTACCAAACATCATCAGAAAACAACTTCCATCTCACTCTAGAGTCCTAAGCCTCCATGTGAGTAGGGCCTCCATTCTAAGTTGGTTATGCTACGAAGATGCCCCAACTGTCTCACAAAGAGAGGGAAAAGGGGAAAGAGAAGGGGAGAACATGGTGGGGGAAAGAGCCATCTATTTGAATACTACTCACTTTCTGGAGTCTGCTAGTGTTTTTGTTTTTTTTCACTTAATGACTATCTTATGGGGGGAATGGGGGAGTGACAGGAGTCTGAAAGAGAAGCACATGAGCAAACCATTCCTGAATTGCTGATTCACAAATATGGCTATCCTTTAGTGTCAGTGAGGTGTAGTCCTAGGATACCCCAAGGAAACCAACACCCGGGAGTGTTCAAGAGCCTTACAATCAATAAATCTTTACACGTCTGTTACAATCCTCTCTGCATTACTTACAACATCTAAGACTATAAATGCTACTTGAACAACTGTACCGTACTGTGCAGAGGGAAATGACCAGGAAGAGCTAAACATACGTTGTACGTATGAATTTACTTTTTTCAACAGTTTTCTATCTACAAGTGAGCTGAATCTGTGGGTGCAAAATAGAGCTGACTCTATTTCCAAGTTTAAACTGCAGCCCATAATATGCCATGGCAGCACATTGTATTTATCCCCAAACTTGAATAAAACCTGCTCTTGTGCTGCTCTTTATATATATTAATTATGGTCATCAGAGCTAAGTGTCAAGGCAAAAAAAAAAAAAAAAAATGTTTTGAAGTAAACATGATATATAAGCTAAAATATAATAAATACAAATTATATAGAAAGAACCTCAATGTACACACAAACAAAAATGTGCTCCACAGAAAATATAGCAGGTGGTTACCTAAAAATGCCTATGTTAATTGCTGGGATCCATGAGTTTTCTAATTTCTCAACCTCATGGTCCATACTGTATTTCAAACAGAAGCCTGATAAAACCTTCAGCTGTTTCCTAACAAACGTCATGCGTGTTAACTATACAATACTAAATAGTCTCTACAGAAGGACATTTTACCTGCTTATTTCACAAGCCACCCGTCCTTTCATCTCTATGACATCAGAAGACGTAGCAAAACCTAGCCGTCTTAGAACGCGCTTACGACATTTGAGTTCATCCATTTGCAGTACAGTTCTTGCTTTCTTCAGTTCTCTCTTTGCAGACTTAATATCTATTGCAATCTAGAGCATATAAAAGTAAATAATAAACTGAATCGTGTAATGTGGAAAAACAACACCAAAATCACACAGAAGTTTACTAAGGGCAACTTATCCATATCCTTCTTCATTAAAACCTGGAGACAATGGAATGCATGTGTGCTGTAGGACTCATGCAATTCCAGGAGGAGAAAGATGTACCTGAAAAGTTCTCAGACACTAGCTAAATGTCAAACGTGAAAAAACAGAACGCTCTTGTTAAAAAATAGCTATTACTTAATACACAGGAATGAACAACTAAAATAAAGTGCTTAAGTGAACAAATTAGGTTTAAGTGAATAAATTTTAAAATCATCAGTAAATGTCATATATTTTAATAACTGTGGCAAGAGAATGTTTCTACAAGAGTAAGAAAACAATCATATTTTGAAATGGAGAATTTAAGTTCAGAAAACAAAAACCTAAAAAAATGGAGTTTGGTGGCTGGAGAGATGGCTAAGCAGCGAAGAGCACTGTTCTTCCATAGGTCCTGAGTCCAATTCCCAGCAACCACATGGAGGCCCAGAGCCATCTATACTAGGATCTGTTGCCCGCCTCTGGCACACAGGAATACATGCAGATAGAGCAATCATATAGAGTAAATAAAATATACTTTTTTTAAAAAAATGGAGTTTGAAACTTTAAAGCTTTGTATGGTGTTAAATATTAAGGTACAATGACGGAGAACAATAAAGGTGATGAGCAATTTCACTTCTTCAGGTTACTGGTGAGGCTGATTCCACCGAGTTCTATCATTCCCCATCCCTGCAGTGAGGGTGGGGTGGAGCTCAGGAGCACAGCACCTGCCTAGTGTGCACAAGCAAGGTCTTGAGTCCAGTCCCCAGCATCGGATAGTAATGTAAGAATTGAAATTTTAAAGCAACCCCAAAAGGTAGTAACAATATCAAATCTGAATTTTACGACTGACAAAACTGAAACACAAGATTTCTAAGTAAAGTGATTAAGGTCATAGGGCTCCTGAGTAATCTCAAGTTTAATTCAGCAATTGGTAAGAATCTACTGCTATGAAGTGATGAGCTGTCATAATACTGATATCTATGCTAGATAGCTAAATGGGAAATAGCACAACTATCAGGCCTGTCAGAAGGAAAGAAATGTTCTAGGATTTCTTGGACTGAGATGCCTGAATAGACAGAGCAAAAACCACAAAGACATAAAGCTTAAATTAGAAAAAGAGCCCAGTGTGTAAGACAGTTTTGTAGCATAACAATGAATGACACTGTGAAATAAATCTATTATTAATCCCACTGTCCTTCCTCCATGCGTCTACTAACAGTATTACACATGTGAACTACCCTGAACCTCTGTCATACTCTGCTGCCTTAGATTTCTGTGCAGATCCTCACTTGCTAGATCAGCTGACAGGCTCCAGCACTTGCAGTTTATTCACAAGATGGCTAGACACTCTGTTCTCAGAAGATAGAAACCCTACTATAGAAACTGTCTCTGGGAGCTGGGGAGTTGGCGTGGCACTAAGGACTTGCTCCTGCAGAAGACCCATGTTCGGTTCCTCGCACACTCACTCGTGGAGGCTCACAACTAGCTATTAGTCCTATTCCAGGGATCCAACAGCGCCCTCTCCTGGCCTGCTCCAGAATCATGCATATATGTGGTATACACATATACAGGTAAAACTTATAAACATTACATAAATATAAATAAATCTTGAAAAAGTGTGGTTCTGCCATACCTGTGCTTTTTTTTCACAAAGTGTATACACTGTTTCCAAATTTGGATCATTGTGAAGTGGATGCGAATACATTCGATGCTCAAAAGCCTCTACTTTTTGAATGACTTTTTTCAGTCCTTGATCTTGAATGCCCATATCATCAATAGGATCTAACAAAGGAACACCATCAGGAAAACGCTTTTGAACTTCCTGAAATAAAATACACAAAACTCATAAGATCACTTCAAAACACTATCTCCTTTTATGTTTGTTTTTTTCTGTATCTATTGCCATAAAAAGGACTCTACAGTTTTCCCACTGAAACCGGAGAGCAATTTCCCATTTGTTTTTGAATTTTCCATTTTGGGGAAAGAGAGACAGGATAAAAAGGGGTCTTACTTTGCTGTATAGCTTAGGTTCAAACATGCCATCCTCTTTCTTCAGCCTCCTGAGTGCAGAATTACAGATATACACTACCACAGCCTGCAAATTCCTTTTCAGTTGTTATGTTACAACTTAATACCAACGGGATACATTATAATCCACTAATATATCTAGCATTGTATAGTAAATGCATTAGTTCTGGGTGTGGCATGATTCACTGGTAAAACTACTATTGTATATTTAGGTTGCTGTAATATCTTGCCACTGCATATAACTGTACTTCATATCATTTATGTGGAAAGTTCAATTTTCAAATGACTTGGAGTGTGGTTTATCTCTAGCCAGGGCACTAGTGAGTCAGAAATCAAACTTCTAAAAAAGACTCTTTTTGCTGACT